AAGTTGCTTGGAAGTCAAGTGACTTTCACAAATAAATTTCATAGTCCTCTGGTGACTTGTAACTTGCAAGAACCATAACTTGAGTTCTACAAATCTTCTTTAAGACTTCTAGTACTCAAGTTAAAGGTATTGAGAATCTCTACAAGTTCCATGTTGGCCAAAGATCCATTTGAAACTTTTATTTGGACTTATGTGGCTTTGAAGTTAGGCACTAAATAGGGGATTTGACACTGAAACCCTAATTTAGCAACTTCCCACATTCTTGATCTTTCTTTGCTTAAACTTGGCACAACACCATACATGTATCAACATACCAAACCATGAACCCCATGATCTCAAAGTAGGCTTTGATGCTCTCCAATTACTCAATTGACCTAGGATTGACCCAGATGAAACCCTAGTTGATTGCACTTCAACTGTGGCTCTTGCACTTGAATCAATGACTTGAATTAACTCCAACATGGCCCTCTAGGCCTTCCATGAGATCCATACACACCTTAAATTCACATTCTATGCTTCTCATCTGACTGATGATTCTCAACATTCCTCAAGATAGGAGCAAAACCCACATGTAGGCACTCAAACTTCTCAAGACTTCAAATCCTTTCTTGATGGCCTGGATGACTTCTCATCTTGGATAGCACACCTTGCTAGGCTCTTCTCTGGATAGCCACCCTGATCCCTTGTTGGATGCATGCTATTCTATGATATGCCAATGATTGAACTATGTACATGATGTAACTATGCAAATGAAATGCAATGAAACATAAATCAGGCAAGAAAAGGTTAAGCAAATTTTGGGGTGCAACAGGATGCTTATATTATGAAGCTTGCTTGTGTTGTTAGATTTTTCTTATCCTTAACTTTTACTTTATGCTTTAGGATAGTCACTTCATCTCCTCCCCTTCTTAAATTTTCAAAGCTCCTCCGTTTTTTCAAAAACCTTCTTGTTTCCAAACTTCAAACCGCTTTCATAATAAAACCTTGACTTTGGTCAAGTGATTTTTTTCAAACTTTTTTTCCTTAATAAATTTCAATCAATGTTAATCATATTTTGACCAATTTCAAAAAGACAAAAAAAAATATAAAAACTCACCACTCTTTTTGTGCCTTTGTGCACTTTTTCTTTTAAAAAATTTTCATAAGTTTAGACATGATTCATCTCTTTAAGTGGAATTATTCGCTTGGAAATTAAGACTTGTATTTACATTTAAAATCAATGATAACAAACCTTTTTTGTTATTTATACCACGAACTACGGGATTTTGATCCTATATTGCATTTTGTGGGTACGTAGGCATGAGGCGATAAGTCTCTCCAAACACAAAAATTTTAAAAAATATTTCTCTTCTCATCTCCCCAATCTCATTTCAAACAAACCAATTCAAACCAAAAAGCGTAGATATTTCAAAGGGTTCTTATAGAGTACTATAGACATTTTGGGTGCTAACACCTTTCCATCACGTAACCAACCCCCTTACCTGTTCTCTGTCTGTTCTTGTTTTAGAACTTGTTTAGGTTTTGTTTGCTCTTATTCCTTTCCTTTTGGATAAAATAAAAGTGCAGTGGTGACTCTTGCATTTTTTATTTAAGTTAATCAATAGCTTATACTCACAAGTTTCCCCGCTACACACGGGTAGTGGAAACTCATCCTCATCCATGGTAGTGAGGATCAGGGCTCCGCTGATAAGTCCTTCTTGACAACAAAGGGTCCTTCATAATTGGGAGTCCACTTACTGCGTGGATCTGAGTAAATAAGAGAATACCTTTTGAGCACGAGTTCGCCTTCATGGAATGCTCGTGGTAGAATTTTTTTATCAAAAGCTCGTTTGAGGTGTTTCTGATACAATTGACCGTGGCAAACGGTTGTCAGGCGCTTTTCTTCAATAAGATTCAGATGGTTGTACCTGGATTGAACCGATTCAGCTTCATCAAGCTCTGCATCCATGGTGACTTTGAGTGAGGGGATTTCGACTTTAATGTGAAGAACAACCTCCATACCATACACAAGCGAATATGTAGTTGCCCCAGTGGAAGTACAAACTGAACTTCTGTAGCCATGTAATGCAAAGGGAAGCATCTCATGCATATCCTTGTAAGTTTTGACCATTTTCTGGACAATTCTCTTGATGTTTTTGTTTGCTGCTTCGACAGAGTCATTCATCTTGGGCCGATATGGTGAATAATTGTGGTGCTCGATCTTAAATTCTTGACACAACTCCTTCATCATTTTATTATTCAGGTTGCTTTCATTGTTAGTGATAATACTGCTAGGAATTCCATAGCGACAAATCATCTCTTTCTTGATAAATATGGTAACCACTTGTCGTGTAATGGTTGCGTAAAAAAAAGCTTCAACCTACTTAGTGAAGTAATTGATAGCAACCAGAATGAAGTGATTATTGTTGGAAGCCTTAGGCTTGATCATCCCAATCATATCAATACCCCACATAGAGAAGGGCCAAGGAGAAGTCGGAACATTCAATTAAGTCAGTGGCACATGGATCTTGTCGCCGTAGATTTGGCATTTGTGAGATCTTTTGGCAAAGTTGTAGCAATTTACCTCCATTGTTGTCCAGTAATAACCAGCTCGAAGGATCTTCTTGGCCATGGCAGGACCTTTGGCATGTACACCCTCGCAACCCTTATGTATGGACCGATTGTGTTTGCTTCGTGTCTATCCATGCATCTGAGCAACACATAGTCATAATTCCTCTTATACAGTATACCACCACTCAAGAAAAATTTGGTGCAGAGCTGTCAGAGAGCTTTCTTGTCGATGATAGTGATACCCTCGAGATATTCATGTCTTTCCAGATATCTTTTGATGTTGTAGAACCAAGGCTTGTCATCAGACTCGTCCTCGATTGCTAAACAATGTGTTGGTTCGTTCAAATGATCAATGCGGATAGAAGGAGCTTCGTTCTTCCACTTGACTTTGAACATGGATGCCAGGGTGGAAAGAGCGTTAGCTAGTTGATTTTCTTCCCTAGGAATGTGATGAAAAGAGATTTCATCAAAATAAGGAATCAATTTCACGATGTGCTTTTGATACGGAACCAGCTTGTAATCCTGAGTCACAAGGTTTTCTCTAGCTTGGCCAATCACCAAAGCAAAATCTCCATAGACCTCAAGAATCTTGATTCTTATGTCAAATGTTGCTTCAATTCCGTAGATACATGTTTTGTATTCAGCTATATTGTTGGTGCATTCAAAGTATAATCTGGCGGTGAAGGGAAGATGAAAACCTGTCGGAGAGATGAGGATAGCACCAATTCCACGAACTCTAGCATTAGAGGCACCATCGAACACAAGCGTCCATCGCGCCCCTGATTTGGGTCCTATGTCAGGGTCTGGATTTTCATAATCATCGATAAACAGAACATCCTTATCTGGAAAGTCAAATTTCATTTGTTGATAACCCTCCACAGATTGATGAGCAAGGTAGTCAGACAAGACACTCCCTTTTATCGCTTTTTGGGTAACATGTTGGATGTCATACTCAGTTAACAGCATTTGCCACCGAGAAATTCGTCTAGAGACAACAAACTTTTCGAATATATACTTTATCGAATCCATTTTGGATACCAGTAAAGTAGTATGACAAATCATAAATTGTCTTAGGCGTCGAGCGACTCAGACCAGAGCACAACAAGATTTCTTCAATAGAGAGTGTCTGGTCTCGCAATCGGTGAACTTTTTGCTCAGATATAAATTGCATGCTCTTTTCTGTCAGTGCCATCATGTTGACCTAATACACAACCGATAGATTCATCAAGAATAGTGAGATACATGATTAAAGGCCAACTAAAAACTGGTTGTACTAAGATCGGTGGTTCTTGCAAATTTTTTATTTTTTATTTTGTCAAAAAAAATTTTGACAATCATTGTTTCATTCAACCGATTGATTTTTTTCTTAACAATTTAAATATCGGTTTACAAATAGCCATCAAATAGGCCTTTTCATTCGTGTTTTCCCGGCCCATGAAGTTCTGTCTCTTATATTGAGTCTAATTTGAAACATGTTGTTAATATTTTAAAGATTTTTTTGTATTGTTTAATCTTTTAATCTGGACTTGTTTAATTTGCCGCTTCATGTTTTTAAACAAAAAAAAGTCATGCATTCAAATTGATTCAATAGTCATTATTAGGGATTTCCATAACTAGATCACCAGAAATGTAAGTCATTCAAAAATAAATGATTAGGTAATAGTTATAATCTGCCACATTGATGGAGGCTTAAAAATGCATTATTATTTTTTGTAGCACTTAAACCAGAGTAGTACAGTTATATTTTTCATTCATAATTCAACTACTTGGCACTAGGTAGCTGAAATAATTCCTCCAGTTAAAAAATATAATTCAACCTACTGAAACTAAGTAATTGGAGCCTCAAAATGGAGTTTTTATCTTAATTCGTTTTAATTAAGGAAAATCTTACAGCTATATATATATATATATATATATATATATATATATATATATATATATATATATATATATATATATATATATATATATATATATATATATATATATATATATATATATATATATATATATATATATATATACACACCAGTTTGTACAGTGGAATCAGTATATAAAAATTATAAACTAAATTTAGTGAGAGAGATAGAAGGGAGGCCGAGCATATATAAAAATTTGTTATATTGAAATTGCGTGCTTACAAAAGAGAAGAAATACCCCTTTTATATGGATACAAATGCTTACTATTTAAATAGGTAAAAGCTACCTATAATAGCTGGTTACAACAAACAAATATGAATTATTAATGTCGGATACACATTAGGCCCCATCGACACAAAAATAATTCACAAACAACAAAACTTTCTTACACAATAAAGTAAAAGTAGAATTGCTTTTTCCAAGATAAGATTCCTTCTTATCTTTGCATGCATTTGCCTTTAGGAAATTATTGCATTGTTCATAGACAAGATAAAATTCTCTCTTGTCTTTTCTCTTTGTCTTGAGATTCTTTATCTCTTTGCTTTGTCTTTTGCTTTCTGAGCCATGGATTGAATCATCGCATCCCAGAAATCTTCAGGAGTTGAGTTATCCGGTTGGGCTTCTCCTGCTAAACAATCAAAGTTGTTGGAATCAATTGATCCCATAGAAGAGCTAGTCTTCATAGATGAATTCTCATCTTTTGATGTTTTAGTTGGAAAAGTGGAGAAGAACTGGTTCTTCATATGATCCATAGTCCTAACCATAATTTCTTCTTCTGATTCATTTGGATATTTTTTCTAAAAGAAGTTCTTTAAATTTCCCATAGACATTTGTTGGGAGCCTTGGTCTTTGACTTTATTATTTTGGTCTTCAGCTATAGCTGCTTGAATCATAATAATTTTATTCTGGATTTCTTCAGAACTCATTTTGTTCCACCATTTATAGAAGAAATTTCTTTCTAAAATGGGTATGTTGAATTTATTTTGAGATATGGTGATAGACAATCTCCATATCCATGGGATCTGAAGTTTGGTAAAGAACCAAAATGAACATTGTCCTGTGATTAAATTATCAGATAAAATATTTATAATAAGTGGACTATTATCACACCAGGGATTGTATAAATCAAGTAATTCTTTGGGTAATATTTCCAAAGACGGACCGAATTTAGTCCAACATTCGTAAAACCAATTTGGTATGGGTTTATTAATCATTTCTTGATTAATAGAGAAAAACCAAGAATGCTTGTTCTTAGGATTTTGGTAATAAAAAGCTTGAGTGAAAGCTTGGACATAGTCCCAGTAATTAAAGTAGATATACTTTCCTTCGGCAATCCTTATTACCTTTTCACCATTTGGGTTAAGACCCCATTCTCTTGGTAACAAGATTTTATTAATATGATATTTACTGAAGTTTATAAAACTTTCAGGATTATTGTTCTGGTAGTGGTGAGTAATTGTTACCGATTCGGTAACAGTCAAAAGAATCTCTAGGTGAGGCCTAGTTTTCCATGAAGACCTGGATATCCTCTTGATTCGAGGTATCTGGTTTTGATAGACCATCCATCATTTGGATTTATCTTAATATCGTCTTCATCAATATACATGATTTTTTCAGTTACTGGATTTTCAAAATAATCCATTTGTTCTTGAGATGGGTTATTAACCGCAACTTCCTTGTTATATTGAAATCGCGTGCTTACAAAAGAGAAGAAATACCCCTTTTATAGGGATACAAATGCTTACTATTTAAACCGGTAAAAGCTACCTATAATAGCCGGTTACAACAAACAAATATGAATTATTAATGTCGGGTACACATTAGGCCCCATCAACACAAAAATAATTCACAAACAACAAAACTTTCTTACACAATAAAGTAAAAGCAGGATTGCTTTTTCCAAGATAAGATTCCTTCTTATCTTTGCATGCAGTTGCCTTTAGGAAATTATTGCATTGTTCCTAGACAAGATAAGATTCTCTCTTGTCTTTTCTCTTTGGCTTGAGATTCTTTATCTCTTTGCTTTGTCTTTTGCTTTCTGAGCCATGGATTGAATCATCGCATCCCAGAAATCTTCAGGAGTTGGGTCATTCGCTTGGGCTTCTCCTGCTAAACAATCAAAATTGTTGGAATCAATTGATCCCATAGAAGAGCTAGTCTTCATAGATGAATTATCATCTTTTGATGTTTTAGTTGGAAAAGTGGAGAAGAACTGGTTCTTCATATGATCCATAGTCCTAACCATAATTTCTTCTTCTGATTCATTTGGATATTTTTTCTGAAAGAAGTTCTTTAAAATTCCCATAGACATTTGTTGGGAGCCTTGGTATTTGACTTTATTATTTTGGTCTTCAGCTATAGCTGCTTGAATCAGAATAATTTTATTCGGGATTTCTTCCGAACTCATTTTGTTCCACCATTTATAGAAGAAATGTCTTTCTAAAATGGGTATGTTGAATTTATTTTGAGATATGGTGATAGACCATCTCCATATCCATGGGATCTGAAATTTGGTAAAGAACCAAAATGGACATTGTCCTGTGATTAAATTATCAGATAAAATATTTATAATAAGTGGACTATTATCACACCAAGGATTGTATAAATCAAGTAATTCTTTGGGTAATATTTCCAAAGACGGACCAAATTTAGTCCACCATTCGTAAAACCAATTTGGTATGGGTTTATTAATCATTTCTTGATTAATAGAGAAAAACCAAGAATGCTTATTCTTAGGATTTTGGTAATAAAAAGCTTGAGTGAAAGCTCGGACATAGTCCCAGTAATTAAAGTAGATATACTTTCCTTCAGCAATCCTTATTGCCTTTTCACCATTTGGGTTAAGACCCCATTCTCTTGGTAACAAGATTTTATTAATATGGCATTTACCGAAGTTTATAAAACTTTTAGGATTATTGTTCTTGTAGTGGTGAGTAATTGTTACCGATTCGGTAACAGTCAAAAGAATCTCTAGGTGAGGCCTAGATTTTCCATTAAGACCTGGATATACATGATTTTTTCAGTTACTGGATTTTCAAAATAATCCATTTGTTCTTGAGATGGGTTATTAACCGCAACTTTCTTGTAGGATGTATTTTTGTTAGAAGAGGGGGAAGTTATATCTTCCTTTTTTGATGAAGATGCAGGCAATTGTTGCATTTTTCTTCCTTTGTAAACTGTAGTCCAATCCTCTATTAGAGGAATGCTTGATTCTGGTTGGGGTAACATATTGTTACTCCCTCTTCCACCACGGCCATAACCGCGGCCTCTCCCCCTATATGTGGTCATCATTCTTTCCCTGAAAAAATTCACGAGTAAAGTAGTCAACAAGTGAATTATTCTCACCTTTAATGTGTTGAATGTCAAATTCAAACATAGATAATTGAGATTGCCAGCTAGCAAAGATTTGCTTAGAAACAAGATTTTTAACATCTTTTTCGATAATTGATTTAGCTGAGCTGCAATCAATTTTTAATAAGAATTTCTTATTAAGAAGATCATCTTGAAATTTTGAAATACATTTTATAATAGAAAGCATTTCTTTCTTGATAGTAGAATATTTAGATTGGGTATGATTCCATTTTCCAAAAGTAAATCTGACCAGAACTTCTTTTGATGTTTCAGGTATAACCTGTTTAAGATTCCTCCATAGCCTAAGTTTGAAGCATCAGTTTCAACAATTTTAAAATACTTAGGGTTAGCAAGAGATAAAAAAGGCAAACACTTAACCTTATTTTTAATTCTTTGGACTTCCTAAGAATGTTCATTAGTCCAAGGGCCAGGATTTTGTCCAAGTCTAGTATGTAATATGGCAGTATCTTTAGCAAGATTTTTATAATAATCTGCTATGTAATTAACACTACCAAGAAATCTTTGTAATTGTTTCTTATCTGTAACAATATTGGGGAATTTTGAAGCAAATTCAATACTTCTTTGTATAGGAATTATTGTTCCTTGGTCAATTTCATGACCTAAAAATCTAACTTTTGTTTGAAAAAGTTTCATTTTAGGAGCAGATATGACTAATCCATTATGTTTAATTAATCCTTTAAATATTTTTAAATGTTTAACATGTTGATCTATAGTTTTAGAAAAAACTAAGACATCATCAATATAGACAATTATAAATTCTGTATAAGGATTAAAAATATCATTCATAATATTTTGAAATTCGGAAGAGGCATTTTTAAGGCCAAAAGGAAGGACATTTCATTCATAATGTCCAAAAGGCACAGTAAAGGTTGTTTTATACTTATCAGATTCATTAATCTGAATTTGCCAATAGCCAGATTTCATATCAAACTTAGAGAAGATTAAAGTGTTGTTTAATCTATCTAAAAGGTCTTTTTTATTAGGAATAGGATATCTAATCCATCTTAACACCTTATTAAGGGGTTTGTAATTAATAACAAGTCTAAGGACCCCACGTTCTTTTTCAGCAGCATTATTGACATAAAAAGTTGTGCAACTCCAAGGAGAGCGATTTTCTTATCAATTTTTTCTCTAAAAGAGATTCTATCTCTTTTTTGCATAACTCCAAATACTCATGGTTCATTTGAGCAGGCCTAGCTTTGGTGGGAATCTGACTTTCATTAAAGTCATCAAGATAAGGTAAAGAAATAACATGTTTCTTTCTATCCCAAAAAGCATTTGGCAAATCATTGCACACTTCATTTTTGAATTGGTTCTCGGTCAATTTGATCTGTTCTCTTATCTCATTTTTATTAAGTTGTTCATTAATATTTAATAAACTAACTTCCTCTTTAAGAAAACCTAATTGTTTTTCTTTATTTAAGAGAATACTTTTAACTTCATTAAGCATTTTAATATGAGGATCAGTAAGAAATTCAAAATTGACAGTTTTACCATTAATCATGGTAGTAATGCCTTTAGTGTCAACATTAATTAAAGGCATAATGCTATTTAAAAAAGGAGTTCCAAGAATAACTCTATGAGTCATGTTTTTAACTAAGATGAAATGGGTAGTTAAACAAATATCTTGATTACAAACGTATGTATTAGGTAATTTATAATTAACCATTAATTTGTCACCACTAGCCTGTGCAAGAGTTTGACTGGTTTTTGTATAATACTTGGTAGGAACAATTCCTTCCTGTAGACAATTAAGCTCAGCGCCACTATCAATAAGGGTGACTTCATTTTCTAAAATAAACGTTCTGTTAATAACTAAAGTTATTTTAACAAACCATTTTTGGGAAATTACTCTATCAATAAGAGTGAGAAATCTATCATTAGTAGAAGGACTGCTAGTAGAGAATATTTCTTCAACTTTAAGGTTACCTGTTTCAAGCAAGGAGACCCTTTGAGATAATTTTTTATTATCTTTCTTTATCTGAGTAATTTCATATTTCAAAAGATTAATTTCTCTATTTAAATCAGTAAGGGAAACAAGAGTTTCACGGATATTGGATTGTTGGAATCTGGATAAAACCTCACTTAATTGGTAGGGTGCTTCTCTAATAATAGGAGATTCTTTTTTAGAATTTTCTTTAATTAAAACATCAAGCATTTTTCTTTTAAGGTTACTATCATAAATAGACTCAATAGCCTTTATGGCTTCATCTTGTTATGTAGTAAGAACATTAAGATCATTCATGTCAACAATAGACTTCCAGTAATCAATTTTATTACATTGACAATTATTATTGTCAGAATTATCAGAGGAATAATCTGATGATGATTCATAGATCATGTCAATATCTTCATTAGAAGAATTAGTTTCTGAGTCAGACTTGAGTAAACA